GCTATAATTTTGATGTTTTGAAATTCTTTAATCTCTAAAGATAATATACTACAAATTAAAAATATAAACGTGAAGTTTAATAACGAGACAAAATAACTTTTATCGAATTGAAACTTTTGATGAAATGGAGAAGAAATGATTACGTTGAATTTGATTCAGCCAATCCAGCAAGAAATGGCAAGTAAGAACGTACAGGTATTTCTTCCCATTTTTTAGTGCATGTATCCTTTTTTTTTTAAAAAAAAAAAAAAAATTCGTTTCAATAAAATAAATAAGTCGTTTCTGATGAAAAAATACTAGTTTTCGAACTTACTTCTAAATATAAATGTACACCTCCATCAGTTCCACATAAAATTAAAGCAGTACAATCTTCATCCCCTTTATTTATTGTGGTGTGTGAAAGCTGCGTTGGAGTGAAATTAAATCTAATACTTTGACAATTCCCTAAATAAAATTATTCAAAAGATGCAATAAAGAAAAAGTTAATAATTATTAAATATCTCTCAAAGAAGTCACTCCAAATAATTTACATTACCAATAATCTTGAAGATAGCGTCTTCCATAAACGTCAATGAATTTTCATCCAAAGAAAAAATTCGAAGAGAAAATTGGCTTTGAGAATCATCATCTGGAATAATCCTTTGACCAGACTATAATTACAAAAAAGGAAATCTTGATCATTAATTAAAGAAAAAAAAAGGGAAATTTAAAAGTTTTACTTACATGAGCTGTTGTCAAGGCAAAGACTAAATCAGAATTGATGGAAGAAAATACGTCCATCGAAACGATTTCTCCTATTACAACACAAGAAAATTTAATTAAATGAAGTATAATAAAATGAAAATTTTTTCTTAAATTTTAAAATACCAATATCTTTATCAAGCGGCAAATCGATCGTATTCCAATATCCTGGCGCCGAAACAAAACATGTAACTCCATAAAAAGAACTTACGAATAAATGTTGATGAATTCCTACATTATAAATATCGTAATTGAATGAGAAAAGATCCAAATATTAAACTAGTTCAGACAACTTACTTTCTTTATTTTCACGATTTCTCAAATGATTTGTAAGAATTTCAAGGGACAAACATTTAGACGTGTTTGATGGAAATTCTCGATCATAAGGTAAACCACTTCCTAAATGTGAGGTAAATATGGATAACCCATAAATATTTCTAAGATAATTTTTGTTACAATAGTTAATTATTTAACTGGAAAAACTAATTAAATGAATTTCGAAAACGCAAACACTTACGTCCTACCTCCCGAAGAAAAACGAGAGAAATGACTTTCATAGAAATATTCAGTTTCCATAAGAAAATAATTCTTTTATAAATATCTTTTTTATATATAATAAATTAGAATAAGAATTTGTCATAATTATTTAATTGATATGGTAAAACGTGATGATAAATTTTAACGGAAAAAATTTTTATTTGATGGTAAAAAACATTTATAAAAAAGAAAGAAAAAAAAAATTTCAATTTAAAAGTTGTCCGATACTTACCATCTATATATATAACTTGTACTTTACTGTACATCAATTATTTTGTCCTCAACCGTAATGACAGACGGTTGACTGTTACGCGACCCAATAAAAAACACTACAGCTTAGAAATGAATATTTTCGATTGTATCCTACGCTATGAAGCGAGTTCCAGGTATTATGTGTAATACACTTTTGTCAGGGCTTCATTTTCGAGTGACATAAAGAAATACTTTGTAAAAATTTGTAATGAAAAAAAAAAAAAAAATCAAAAAAATTTCGATTATCTGATCACGAAAGAATCGTAAAATCTCGGATGCGCAAGAATAAACAGAGATTTGAGTTACATAAATTATACTAAATTGATGCTAAGGTAAACAACAGATGTGATGTATCTTTCCGGCAATTCAAAGATGGTATGGATAATCTTTTCGTCCTCGAGACTAAATTATTTATGGCAAGTACCGTTATTATTATAAATATGTCATTATGTCGCTTATTTTTTTTGTGTAAAAACAAAAAAGAATGGCAGGTATTATATCAAAATCAAATGCATTTCTTGTTAGTTATAAATTTCATCAGCATCGAAAAGGTGCGCTTTATAATTTTGTGACGAGAATTGGACCTGCAGCATCAAATCGACGTTTTTGTATGTATGAAATGGTTTCAATTATTTATTTTTTTTTTGGAGTTGATTTTCAAGGAAAATTTGAGGCGCAGCAAGTTAAACATATTATTCAAAAAATAATTTTTGTTTTTTTTTTACACCAGATTCTCAAGATAAACGTATTGTGGTTAAAAATCCGGTCGTTGACTTAGATGGAGATGAAATGACTCGAATTATTTGGGACAAGATTAAAACTAACGTAAATTACAAAATCAAATCAATTTTTTTTTTTATTTAAAAACGATCATTTTGATAACGAAATTCAATGCGCAGTTAATCCTCCCGTATCTCAAAATCGACATCAAATATTATGACTTGGGAGTTGAAAATCGAGATGCTGTAAGTTCAAATCAGATTTGAAATCAGATAAAGATGTGCGTGTTTTGTAATCAACATTACTTTTTGTTTAAAGACAAACGATCAAGTTACCATTGATGCAGCCGAAGCGATCAAAAAATATAATGTGGGCATCAAGTGTGCGACAATTACACCGGATGAGGCGAGAGTCAAAGGTAAGAAGCTAATTTATTCATAAAAATTTTTTTTAACTTTTGGATTGTTAATGACATACTTTGAAATTTGAATCGAATTACAAGAGTTCAATTTAAAAGAAATGTGGAGATCTCCAAATGGTACTATTCGTAATATTTTGAATGGTGTCGTATTTAGGTAATTTGATTTTAATAAATCGGCCATTAATTGCTTCTCCTGTGCCAATAACCAACATGTTTTTTTTTTTTCAAATAGAGAACCTATTTTATTGAACAGTGTCCCGCGTATAATTCCGAATTGGACCAAACCTATTGTTATTGGTAGACACGCTTTTGGTGACCAGGTAAGTCTTGAAAGTTTTTGTTTTAATTGAATCAAAAAATAATATGATAATGTATTTTATTAGTATAAAGCCACTGAAATGATTATAGATTGTCCTGGCAAAGTTGTTCTAACATTCGTCCCAGAAAACCATGATAATTCAAAATTACAGGAAAAAGAAGTGTTTACTTTTCAGGTAATTACTTTACAAATCATCTTCTTAAAAGAATAAAGTAAAATAACCCGTTATCAAATTTCTTAATTTTAGTCTCCCGGTGTTGTCATGTCTATGTACAATACAGATGAGGTAATGTTTACGAGTTTTAAAAAGTTCGAGAATTCTCACTTATATAAAATTTTTTTAGTCTATTAGAGGTTTTGCTCATAGCAGCTTTCAAATGGCATTGAGCAAAGAAATGCCTTTGGTAATCAATTTTTTTATTTTTATTTTTTTTTTTTCAAAAAAAAAAAAAAATGGAAATAAATATTTATAAGTTTCGTCAACTTATTTTAGTATCTTAGCACCAAAAATACCATCTTGAAGAAATACGATGGTCGCTTCAAAGATATTTTTCAAGAAATATTTGACAAGTAATAAATACAGATTTCAATTATTTTTTATTTAAAAGAGCTAAATCTTATATCAATTAATATCTTAAGGGATTACAAAGATAAATTTGATGCCAAGAAAATTTGGTATGAACACAGACTTATAGATGATATGGTTGCTCAAGTCATTAAATCTAGTGGTGGATTTGTTTGGGCTTGTAAAAACTATGATGGGTATATTTTTTTTATAGATATATATTTTTTTTCCCAATATTTAAATTTTCATTTTCATCTTTTTTTTTTTTATTTTCTTATTAGAGATGTCCAAGTAAGTTTTTGACCCTATTTGGTATCGATATAGAGTGAAAGTCAATAAGAACTAAATTATTTACTACAATTTTACGATAAGTCTGATATTTTAGCTCAAGGTAACAAACAAAGTACTACTATTTGCTTTTTAATTACGATCGATAACTTATTTAATTTTATTATAGGATATGGTTCTTTGGGATTAATGACGAGTGTCCTTGTTACTCCGGATGGAAAAACAATGGAAGCAGAAGCAGCACATGGTAAAGAAATTACTTTGCGATTTCAATTTAATTATTTTGTATTTAAATATACTAATAATTTTTTTTTTAGGAACTGTAACAAGACATTATCGTCAACATCAACAAGTAAGAAATCATTTACCGTCAATCAGCTCTTTTTTAATTTTTTTGTTAATTATTTTTTTTTATCACAAATTTCATAGGGCAAAGAAACTTCAACGAATCCAATAGCATCAATCTTTGCGTGGACAAGAGGTTTAGCGCATAGGGCAAGATTAGATGGAAATGAAAAGTTAGAAAAGTTTTCTCATGATCTTGAAAAAGTTTGTACTGATACAGTTGACAAGAATGGTAAAATGACCAAAGATCTCGCATTATCGGTTCATGGCGAAAAGTAAGTTTTTTTTCTCTAAAAAAAAAAAAAAGAAAAAGAAAAAAAAAATTCCGAGATTGATTTATTTTTTTCCATATATAGTTTGAAGAGAGAACATTATGTTACTACAGACGAATTTTTGGATCACGTTACAAATAATTTGAAGAAAATTTACGGGAATTAAAATAAATAAAATCATTAATTTATTGTATTATTTATTAAATTATTATATAATGCTGTTGAAATTGAATTGAATTTTTCAAGCATAGGCAAGTTAAATAGATCATCCATAATAATTATTTTAACTTTTATGATGAGTCATCAAAATTAGATATGTAATATAAGCTTAACGTTAATAAATAATGACTAATCAGTTGCGTTAGTTGCGTTTGACATTTTTTTTTTTTTTACTGATAAATAAATTGTCAAACATTTTACAAGTTTTACAAGACATTTTCCTTCCTTTCAAATTGTTTTAAAATAGAAAAATAATAAAAATAATAATAATAATAATAATAAAACGCGTCAGCTTTCTAATTATAATCAGAATAATTGTCAATGTTTGCTACGATACAAACACCAATATCTCGAACGTCATCAACCTCAACAATAATTTCTGAAGATTCAACCCTAGATTCGGATTGCTCCTTTCTTGATTTCGATCATACATTTGAGGATCCTGTTGTCACAAGCAATACTTCCGAACAAGATTTTGTACCTTCATTAATGCAATTCGATGAAGAATTGAATACGATTATGATTGACAATGAAATACTAGAGCCAAAAGCTGGGGAAGATACAATTAACGTAGATCGAAATGTCAAAGAAATGAACCAGGTTTCAAATACTGCAACTTCTCTTTATGAAGAAGAAGCAGGAAGTCGAAATCATTCTCAACTAGATCATATCAATATAATCAATGGAATTCCTGAGATGGTTGAGGACAATAATAATTCAGAAGCGATAGCACCGCTTGACGAAATTCAGCAGTCTTCAGTTAATGAAGATCGAGAAAATGTTCATAAAATTATCATCACTTTATCACAAGCGAAACGAATTGCAAATACGTCAATTGATTCTGACGAACGAGCAGACGTACTTGAAAATGCATTAGTCAGCGATAATGAAACTACTTCAAATCTTATACACCCACAAAATGTTGAAAGTGATAATTCACCGGTTCCCAACCTTGATATGTCATTAATCCCTGTCAATCAGAGTAGAACCGATAACTTTTCAGCGTTTTCTACTGGAATTAGTCCGAATATTAACATTTCTTCGCCTGTTGAAGTTAAAAACAATACTCTTGCCAACGATTTAAACGAAGAAAAATTGATTTCGAATATTGATTCAGCCTTGTCTGATAACTTTAGCAAAATTTGCGACCATGGCAATTTCAGAACTATTCCAAAAGCGCCAAGGAAGAGGTCACTTAAAAACGAAACTAGTAATAATACTTATACACTTCCTAGTCTTTCCGATAATGACATTATCAATAACATGGAAAAGGTTGAAATTCATCAAGTTGATCATAAGTCCAGTTCTGAATTACTTCCTATCGATAGCGAATTTAGATTGAACAACGACAAAGTTGATCATAATAACGAAGGATGTATTGATGAAATGAAATTGAAAGAAGAATCCGTAAGTTTTTTTTTGTATTTAGGAAATTGGCGGTTTTTCTATTAAAGTCACGTTACGGTTCATAATGATCTACAATGTCTCGTGACTCGATTTTTTTTAACGTTGACTTGTGTTTAGATTAGGAACGCGTACAGCGGAATCACTATCGCTCTCAAGCATCAGTTAATGTTGTATAATAATCTCCGTGAAATCATCCCAGAATACGTTCGAAGACCGGTAGAAAGTAGTATTGGTATTATTAGATTTAGTATAGAGCCACCAGATCTTATCCAAGATGTAATTACCGCTCAAGAACAAAAAGGTGTTTTTTCATCATCTACAAGTCCTATTGAAGGAAATAATGATAAAGATAATTTGGTTAAGGAAGAATTTGTGTCATCATCACAGAAACCAAAAGATATAATAAGTTCACGTGCAAAGAAATGGCATGAACTTCCAGATGATATGAAGGAAGTAAGTTTTTAATCCAAGATTCATGTTTCATTTATTTGAAAATGGGCAAGACCTTTTTTTTATTTATTTCAAATTGCGCAGTATTATCAAAGGAAAGCAAAACGTCTACGACACAAATACTCTCAAAACCAATCGGGAAGTCAACTCGTAAAACCTGGAAAAGACGAAAGTGAACTTTTAACTGTTGCTATTCCGAAATTTTCTCTGAGGCCAGTTATTCCAATTGTGACGATGACACCATCTCAACATATGGATTTTGCCCAACATAAACGTTAAAATTCACTTCAAATGTTGGAAAGATAGATCCGGTATGAATTAATATGTAGTATCGTTGATGAAGAATAATTTGTTAATTGCTTATTGGTTTAATAATTGAAAGTCATTGCTGTCACGTGATTCATGTACAAGATTAATATTATTTGTAATTGATAAATCAAAAAATTTTGTATCGACTTTGTTGCCTGAGAATTTCATTAACCGGTAGCCTGTTGAGCCGGTGGAAACCAATTTTCATATGAGTTTGTTCGAATATCTTTCCAAAAAAAATCGAATATTCGGAATCTAACTGATTAATAAAACAACTTTCTAAAAAAGAAGTGATCGGCGATTGGCTTAAATGAAAAATTTGTTCTCAAAAGTAACCGCATTGCATTGGTAGCTTCCCAACCTGATAAAATAATTCCAACTTTAAAATAAAATCTTAAGACGCGACATTACAACAATTTGCTGCAATTATCTCATCAACGTCCTTATTATCTACTCTTAGAAGCAAAAAAAAATCTTTGATTATCAAAATCGATTTGCAATCTGGTTAATCATGTAATTGTTTCTACATTTGGAGGTTTCCTTTTTCGTGTTAATTAACCTGATATTTCATTATTCTATAAGGTATGAAATTTTCATATGGAATGATTTTCATGGTTCAAAACTAGGTTATCATGCTAATTGGTACTTTGTGTGTAGCAGCTGACCTCATTAACCAAGAATAAACTAACATTTTGATAACACTTTCAAAATTAACAGTAATATCTGCAATTACGCCTAAAACGTTATTTTCGGAGTTAAATATAATTAATATCGAAATTGGTAATGATAATAGCATAAACCCAATCGGCTGTGTGAAAGTTCACTTTTGTCAATTAGTACAAATAAAATTTTCTTAATGTAACACACTCCAAATAAAACAGGCATATAAGAAACCAGTACTGACTTTTCCTTTCAAATGTTCAACCGGTCAACCTTTTGTAAAAAGGAGAATCAAGAAACTTTTTTTATACCTTTTTCTTTTTCTTACCATTTTTTTTCTAACGACTTTCAAATGGTTTCCTCATTAATCATATTGGGTTCGCTTTCGTTCGTAGTTCTTTCATTTCTTATAAATCGTATTTATAAACCTATAGGATATACATCCATACCTGGTCCTGCCCTTCGTTTGAGTACTCGTTTGCTGATGTTTATTCAGCTTCATTTCTTGCAAACACTACCAGAATTCACGGAATTTTGGTGTAAACTTTATGGAGACACCATCGGTGTCTGGGTAAATGGTGGTTACACCATTGTATCTTGTGATGCCGATTTTGTTCAGAAAATTCTTGCCGGCACTCATGCCAGCAATTTTATCGCACGAACGGGCAATGACGATGGTTTGAAAGCAATAGGGATGTATCAAAAAGGAATCATTTGGAATAATGATGTCCCAAAGTGGACCCTTCAAAGGCGCATTTTTCAATCTGGATTGGGTTCCAACGTTCGAGAAAAGGCCTTTGAAGTTGCTACAGAGAAAACTCGACAAGAAATCAATCGCATAAAGGCTACCGCGCGTGACAATAATACTGTTCCAACCATTGATCTCTTAAATATCCTTCGTCATTCCACCCTTGCTGTCACACTGGACGTGGCCCTAGGAATCCAATTAGATCAAGAACGATCGCAGCACCTGATCGACTCCATCGTTGAATACTTTAAGGCGTGGGAATTTTTCTTAATGAAACCGCGATTCATCTGGTCCTTGTTTCCGTTACGTCTTTATCATCACAAGAAGTCAATCTCAAGGCTGCAAGAATTGATTCGAAATCTTGTTTCAACCTTGAACAAACAATCGGCCCCTTTCATATCTCAACTTCACGAGAATGGATTGACCATCGATGAGATCAATCAATGCGTCCTCGAAATGGTCCTTGCGGGAACTGATACATCTTCCGTAAGTTTATATTACACATTTATTCTTCTTACGGAAAACGAGGAGATACAAAATCAATTATTGGATGATTCTCGAGATGATTCATTCTTGGAATCCGTTTTACGGGAATCTATGAGAATAATGCCCGTCGGTCCGGTCATAATCAGGAAAGCGCTTGCTGATTGCGATATTTCAGGAACGCGCATCCAAGCAGGCACTAACATAGTTATTAACGTTGCTCGAATGAATAGACACCCAAAGTGGTTTGAAGATCCTTTAAAGTTTAATCCTCAACGATTCCAACAGAACGAAAATTTGATCGCTCTCTCTGCTACAATGGGAGGGAAAGGACCAAAATCATGCGTTGGCCAACATCTGGCGATGATTGAAATGAAACCCATTCTTCGGGAGCTTATTACAGCATTTAAATTTACACGAGAAAAAGGCGCCAA